GCAAGGGAGTCAGAAGTGCAGAACACAGAGGACAAATAATGAGTTTGCTTTGTCGTCTTCTGCAGGAGAGCAAATAAACGTTGAAGAAAATAAGTATTGTTACACATGACACACTGGACCCTTACCGCAGCACCTTCAGTCGTAGACTGACCACTGCAACTTTTTTTTTTTTTTTTTTTTTTTTTTTTTTTTTTTTTTATTTTATTCATTTTATAATAATAAAAAACCACAAAACAATTAACATACAGACAACAAAAGAAATAATATTATAAAATGAAAGGTGGCAGATGAAGAAAAAAATCTTATCATATCTGCCCCTTATTCTATGATAAACAATTTAAACAAACAACTTCCTTTGAATACAAAAAAGAGATAAACAACACATTAACTTCCTTAATCGCAATGAATTACTGTTTGAACTCATTTCAAATATATTGTTTCAACAATTTATCCTTGACCATTCTTTTGAATATGGGCATTGATTTAGCTTCTTTAACATCAGTTCCTAATTCATTCCATAACCCAACTCCTTGAATTATGGTAGACCTTCCTTTTAAAGTAGTTCTGTACTTGGGCTTCACAAACATGTCTGTTCCCTTAAGATTATAACAACTCAATCGTTTAACAATATACACCTGGATATTCGAAGGCAAAACATTATTGTGCGCTCTATACATTACTGACAATATATTATAATCCACCAAATCATAGAACTTCAGCAATTTGGTATTATAAAATAATATACTTGATGGATGCGGATAATGTTTTCTAGTAATAATTCTTAAAACTCTTTTCTGCAAAACAAAAATAGGCTTTGTAATTGATTTACATGCCTTTCCCCAAATACTAATACAATAAATCAAATGTGGAACAATAATTGTATTATATAACAAATAAAGTGCCTTTTCATTCAATAGATCCCTAACTCTATAAAATATTGCAATAGATTTAGATAATTTCATTTTAACAGAACTTATATGTCGTTTCCAGGACAGTTTGTCATCAATTATGACACCCAAGAATTTCGCCTCATGGACTCTATGAATTTCGGAGCCATCAATTTTAAATGAGACATCAATAGATTTATTTTTATTACTAAAAATCATATAATTGGTTTTATCTAAATTTAATGTTAATTTATTAAGTTTAAACCAAAACTGAACTTTATCAAGTTCAGTCATCATTAATTCCACTGTTTGTTCAATACTCTTACCAAAACTAAAAAATGTGGTATCATCAGCAAATAAAATACATTTGAGGAGACCAGACACCTTAACCAAATCATTAACATACAAAATAAACAATTTTGGTCCCAACACCGATCCCTGAGGAACTCCGCATGTTATAGGGCTGTGATCAGATTTCACATCATCCATCTGAACAAACTGTGTCCTTTCCCTCAAATAACTAGATACCCACTGCAGCGCTACTCCTCTAATACCATACCTATGTAACTTGTCAAGGAGTATAGAGTGGTCAACAGTATCAAATGCTTTCTTTAAATCCACAAAAACATTAACACAGTATTGTTTTTGATCAACAGCTGTTGATACTTTTTCAATTAATTCCATAAGAGCCATAGATGTTGAATTATTTGCTCTGAACCCATATTGACTGTCAGTTAGAATATTATGTTTTTCAACAAATTTGTCCAATCTACTAACAAATAGTTTTTCCAATATTTTTGAAAACTGTGGTAACAAGGATATCGGTCTGTAATTATTGAATAAACATTTATCACCACTTTTGAAAAGAGGAACCACCTTCACCACTTTCATTTGATTTGGAAATACTCCTGTTGTAAAGGACAAATTACATATGTATGTAAATGGCTCAATTACATGACCTATTATGTCCTTTACAAACGTCATATCCATATCTATATAATCTTTGGATTTTTTATCTGCAAATGTATTAACTATGTTTATTATTTCTTCATTATTTGTCCCATTAAGGAACATACTGTTTAAACAATCCTCAATTAAATAGTTAACATTTTTGTCAACTTTAGGTATTTCAGCTGCAAGGTTTGTTCCAATCTTCACAAAATACTGATTAAATTTATTAACAATTTCATTTTTATCATTGATTTCCTCATTGTTTATTACAAAATTCTGTGAGGTACCAGTTTTTGCTACATGTTTTTTTAAAACACTATTCACTACTCTCCATGTGGCCCTCATATTTCCACCACTTTTATTCAATAAATCACTATAATATTCTTTCTTATGTTTTCTTATAATCCCTACTAATTTATTTTTGTACCTCTTATATCTATCTTCTGCCTCTTGTGTTTTACATTTCAAAAAACATGAGTACAAATAATTCTTCTTTTTACATGCGTTTCTCAATCCTTTAGTCATCCATTGTTGGTCTACAATATTCTTTTTGGTATAGTTTTTTTGTACACAATTCTTTTCATATAAAGTTTCCAAAATATCCATAAACATATCGTATGATTTGTTTACATCTTTAACATACACACTTTCCCAATTTTGTTTAACAAGATCATCTTTTAATTTGTCTAAAGCTTTTTTTGATGTATTTATTTTTCTTTTCATACTAGCAGTTATTTTCATAATATTATGATACTTATTATATATTGTAAAAACCGGTAAGTGATCACTGAGATCTGTCGTCAAAATACCACTAGTCACATCCCCATTTATTGTATTTGTAAATATATTATCAATTATTGTTGCACTGTGAGTTGTGATTCTTGTTGGTCTTGATATCAATGGGTAAAGATTTAAAGTATGCATGGAGTCTATAAATGTACTGATATTATTAGAATCTCTATTATTCCCCAAATCGATATTAAAATCACCACATAAAAATATTGTTTTATTGCAATTCTTTTCTAGTAGTTCTATGATTCTATCTGTAAACAATTCTATATTTGAATCAGGTGGTCGATATACACAACTAATTATAATGTTTTTATCATTTTTATTATTTATTTCTATTGTTACCATTTCAATTATGTTATCATCAATAATTGACATTTCATCAATTAATTTACATTTTACCGAATTTCTACACATAGGACAATAAAGTAATCCTGTACTACAATACTTTGTCTGCACCTGACCTGTTTTAGACCGTAATTGATGGTATTTTTTTTACATTCTCCGTTAATTTTTTTTAATTAATTTTTATATCTTGTGTGTGTCATACCTTGTAGAGCTGTCATTTCTAACCTGGCGCCAAAATAATGTGCTGGATGGGCGGGCCGGTGTCAGGCTTTTGATTGCGTCAAATGGCCAAGTGTGGCTAACGATGGACCCCAAAAAGCACATGACGTTTGACCGCGCGTGGACCAACTAGTTGAAAGAGGTAAAAAATTTTTTTTAAAAAGTCCAGATGGCTCATTGACAGCGACCCACCTGAAGCTTAACTGAAATCTGTTGCTGCGTTACCGGACGCGCGTGACCGACAACCACATTTGGATCATCAGCTGCGCGCGTCCACCGACCGTTAAGAACTATAACATTATAATAAATATAATAATCCGGTGACTCTTGTTTACAATCAATAAATCTTATATCTTCCTTTCTTTGAAATACATTTTAAAATCATGTCAAACTTGATTTGCTTACAAAAGTAGTAAAAGCTTAATTAAAAAAAAAAGTTTTTTTTTATGGGTTGGGGCCTGTAATCAGTTACTTGGTAGGTTTCGGGTCGAGCTCGGAAAAAAATGATACGGGTTCGGGTCGGATTTTTTAGGCCCGCATACAACTAATTCCTTGTGTACGTTCCTTTGTACTGAAACTCTGGCACAATTTCCTGCGTGAGCAATAAAGTTCCATCCATCCATCCATTTTCTTTACCCGCTTATTCCATTTTGGGTCACGGGGGTCGCTGGTGCCCATGTCCAGCAATCACTGTGCGAGGGGCGGGGTACACCCTGGACGGGTTGCAAGTCCATCACAGGGACACATAGAGACAAACGAGACAAACAACCATTCACTCTCTCACTCACACCTAGGGACAATTTAGAGTTACCAATCAGCCTAACATGCATGTTTTTGGACTGTGGGAGGAAACCGGAGCACCCGGAGAAAACCCACGCATGCACGGAGAGAACATGCAAACTCCACCCAGAAAGGCCCCTGGACCGGGGTTTGAACCAAGGACCTGCTCGCTGAGAGGCAGCAGCTCTACCAGTTGCGTCACCGTGCTGCGCAATAAAGTTCCATCTTATCTTATTCACATTTTTCAGTTTTCAAAACAGAAAAAAATCCTCATGCTTTTATTCAACACAGACTCTTTTTTGTGGTGGTGGTACACACAGTAACACTAACTGCTGACGTAAAAGCGCATAAATTACCTTAAGATAAATCTGCCCTTCAATTTAAACATTTTTCTACTTTTTACAAAACAATTTAATTCAATTTGGTTTATTTATATAGCACCAAGTCACAACAGTAGCTGTCTCAGGGCACTGTAGTTATTAATTAACAGCTGCTGTGCAAGACATAATGAAAAAGTCCAAATAATTTGAAATAATAAACTCGGTAAAAAGTGTTTTTTTTTTATTTAGCAAATGACAAAAGCAAAACTCATCATTTAAAAACATTTTATTTGTATTATGAACACCTTAATTCAGGATCAATCTTTCACTGTGGTTGAGGCCGTTATCAGTGACCTGAACGCAACTAAATCCATTTTCACTTGTAGGTTTGTACGTTCTTTAAAAGCAGTGTCAGCATGCAGTAAATACTTCATATTTGAAGTGTACAAAATGTGACTTCTACTCGGTTTTTGCTGTCAAAACATGATAACAGAACAAAAGTTTAATCCATTAAAATAATTCTAACAAGGCCAAGTCAGGACGGATTATTCTTTGTTGAAACGTTGCGTCTTTTTTCGAAAGGCTTGTTAACAAACTCAAGTCTTATAAATAGCACCTTCTCATAGTGGGTCAACCAGTTTGTCAACAAACAGGATCAACAAACTGACTGATCCACTATGAGAAGGTGCTATTCATAAGACTTGAGTTTGTTGCGGTGTCCCAGACTGAATAAGTCTTTTGGATAAAAGACGAAACGTTTCAGCAAAGAAGAATCCTTCCAGAGGAGTTAACCTTCTTACACTGACCCAGTCTCTACCTGGATCAATGAGCATGCATCAGGACAACTAAAAAAATTAGTAAAAGCTGCTCGGTTGAAACAAATATAATAAAAAAAAGAGTCAATATTGGTCAAAGTCCAAACTCCTCCAAGGAAGAGACATCCATTTCACAATTGGTCAGGCATCGTTTTTGTGACGACTTCACTGTACGGTCCATAACGTCCAAATTTATCTTTTCCTATAACAGCAGCACACACTCTGTGTCCAGGCTTGTACTTTTTTATCAGTGCACCCATCGGCAGAGGGGCGGCCTTCAGCTGATCATACGAAGTCCATTTAGGAAAGGTGCCGCTCCCTTTGACCTTTTCCATAGTCAGGAAGATGCTGCAGCAGGAAGAGAAGAGAGTACTGTTAGCTTTATCTTTAAGAGAAATACCAAGGTCAATCAAGTGTCTTAGATGTGAACAGTGGGATGACAGCCAAATGACAAATCACAAAGTGACGGTGCTTAGCTAAATAATTTGTCTTCCTACGTGTAACTGTCCATGGGCGGTGCGGCGGGGTCATTTTCCGTCACGTTCCAGAGCACAGAAAGTCTAGTGGGGTGTCTGATGAGGGCCAGCTTCAGTTCTACTTTCTGAGGCATGCTGTACGAAGCTGCTTCCATGTTCAGGACGGAAGGGAAGGGGAACGAAGGGAGAGCAGGATAGAGAAGCAACTCCTTTTGAAAGGAAAACCAAGAAGGTCTGGGTTAAAAAAGGCAAATAGTCAACACCATTTCTACTGAGGAGAAGCTGTAGTACCTGTCCTTCATCTGATGACGTGACACTGTGGCCTGAAGAGTCCTCATCTTTCATCTTTTTAACTTTCGGTTCCTCTGGCAGACACGGGTTCCCATCATCATTTTCTTCGTCCTGATTATCCTCCAACTCTCTTTTTATAGACTTGACATGCACCTGAATTTTACATTTCAAAACAAAATAAAGGCAATAATTAGAACAAATCATGTAAATTTCGACAGACATTTTAGTTATTTTTGAGGAAATTTCTTTTTTGTTTACGCAAGTATCCTACATGTATAGATGATCAAAGCAGGGTAAACTTTTTACATGTTTCAATGAAAGAGCAGTGATTGATTTTTGAGTTTGACTCCTTGTTTTAGGTTTAGACATTATGCAGCTCCACCTCACACTAACCCTCCCAGGTTGAATGCAAGAATATTCTGTTCTGATGACTGATGCCATCTTCAGGATCATCTTTATTTCGGCTTTGGTAGTGACACACCAACTTACAGCATGTCAGAACTGTCCTTTTTCCAATCGTTTTTTTTTCTCCAAACAACATCTACTGTTCAACATCTATAAAAATAACAAAGTCCATGCTCAATCATCATCATCAAACATTTTTCAGTCCAGATGACCCGACTGAAAAATGTTGGATTGTATACCTGGATTATTGAGCATGGACTTTGTTGTTTTTAACCAGTTTGACACGACTGTCAACAAGGAAGAGGGCCGGCAATGGAGGAGAGGGCGTTCCAAAGAGACCATCTTAGCACTAACAAAACTAGTTTGTTCCACTTTGGAGTAAGCTGTTGGGGGAAGAATCAGTTTTGTGTTGTGTGTTTCCTTGACTGATGAAGCCTTCTGGATCAAAGACGAAACGTTTCGGCACAAAAAAAAGAAACTGTCCAGATGACCTGACTGAAAAATGTTGGATCTCTAAAAATAAAAAAATAAAAAGAAGAAACTATTCAAAGTTTATTTTGAAAGGATTATAAAGTGGAAACTTTGGTCATGGGTGAGTGCAGCTTTAATGCTGAGCTCATATCTTTATATTTGCTATTTATAAGACTGAGTTTGTTGCAACTCCTCAGACTGAAGAAGTCTTTTGGATAAAAGATGAAACATTTCAGCAAAGAAGAACCAGTCCAGAGGACCTGACTCAACCTGGCTAGATTTATGTACCTGGATTATTGAGCATGCATCAGGATATACGCACCTTAAGGAGCAAACTATTTTTTGTAAGGAAGGCTGAATGGTTATCAAAGTCTTTGACAGGACTGCTCCACGATGGGCCTTTTAGTTTTGTTACAGCGTAACGAAATAACATGAAATCCTCAAACAGCACCACAACAATTAAATGCAAACAGGGCAAAAAAAAAAAAAGTTGATGGCTGAGCAAATGTACAAATAGAAATTGACTGCATTTTATGACCTAAAATAGAAAATGTGGTAATATTAAATTCTTTTAAGGCTTACAGTTGAAATTATTTAACTCAAGACCATTTAACTCAAGACCAATTGCGCCGCTCAAGGTGGCTGCATGTTGGAGCAGCTCTGTTACTTTCATTCTGAGATTTTGCTTTTGGAAACTTTAATTCCTCTTTTTCTGGATGTAAATCACATTTTTTGGATGATTGTTTCCTCTGGTATCGGACGCTGTGCAGCTGGAAGGATTTTTACTGAAACTTTTTTAGTTTTGGACATTTGTTATGATGCGTAACCATTGCAACAAGGCAGTTTCTACAACCAACAGCAGCTGATTAATATCTCAAAAGCTCAAGTAATATCTCAGCTACAGCCCTAAATTTCAAATGAGTTGAAAAGGATGTTCTGTGGACGCATTCTCATCTACCTGCCAGCTGTGCTCGAGTGCCTGACCACTGAGATCCTGGAACTAGCAGGAAACACGGCTCATGACAGCTGAAGGACAGGATCGTACATCAGCACCTACAGTTGGCTGTCCGCAGCGATGAGGAGCTCAACAAGCTGCTGGGAGGAGTGGCCATCGCCCTGGGAGGATTTCTGCCCAACATTCAGGTGATCCTGAAGCCCAGGAGGCCAACCAAGTGCAAGTAAACGGATCAACATCTGTGGCCAGTTTTTTCAGATCTGCTATAAGACGGACCATCACAAGAGATCCTTCCCGCCCACAACCATCAACATCTAGAACAACTCTTTTATGAAACAAGGAAAATGAGCTACAACAACATTTAATTTCCCTCTGGGATTAATAAAGTATTTTTGAATTGAATTGAATTTATATTTTTTAAGAGCCTGCGTAAAAACTCTGTTGTTGTTAGTTAGTTTGTTTGCCCATTTTCACATCCCTCCTGTAGCACATCCCTTTTTAAATTTCATTTTTTATTAACTAAAGTACCTAAATACACTGTAAGCCAAAATACAAAAACAGGAAAGCTTACCGTGTCTTCAGAAGAACCAACAGAGGAAAGAAGTGGTGGAGACATCTCTCTTAAATTGCTCTCAACGGATACTGAAGGTTAGAGCAGAAAACAAGCATGAGGAAGGAACAAGAATCAACAGAAGACGATGAATATGGTTGTTTCATCAGATACCGACTGATTAAAAATGGGTTATTTTAGTCATCGCAACAACCGCAGGAGGCCACATTTACTACATTAAAGCCACCTCCTGGAATTTTATCTAAAAAATATATATTAAAATCTAATTTTAAGTTTAAAAAAAAAAGATGCAGTAAATAAAACATTTCAACTTGTGACATTAAAAAGTTGTTAAAAAAGATGTAATGAGCAGATTTACATTTCCTAAAAAAATAAACCACAAGAGAGGATCATTTTAATGTTAGGACTCAATAATTTAATTAGGCATTTACTTCATCTCATTCCAAACTATAGGAAGAAATTAAAAACTTCTAAACCTGTGGGTCGGACTGTTGGGAAGTGGATGGAGCAGTGAAAGCAAGAACTACAGGCCTGCTTTGACTGGTGTGTTTTTGAAGCATCAGCCACAGACCCAGATGGATTTACTGAAACAGTCACGTCCTACATCAGTTTTTGTGTTTTTGTTTGCAGACCAAGACTTTTCGCACATCCAACAATAAACCAAGGTTCACTTCATGTCTGAGGAAGCTGCGTCGGACCAAAAAAAGAGGCTTACGGCAGTGGGGAGCAGGCCCTGTATAAGCAGGCAAAAAACAAACTGACCAAGGAGATCAGGGCAGCTAATAGAAGCTATAGCGAGAAGCTAAAAAGTAGCTTCTGAGCTAACGACCCAGCTGCAGTTTGGAGGAGTCTGAACGACATCACTCACTACAAGAGCCCATCCAAACAACTGCTACGTTCACAGCAAAAAACAATGCAGACATGTTCTTGTTTTTAGTATTCTAGTATTCTACATCGCTTTAATCTAGTCGTTTTTTATTTCGTTTTTTTATACTATTTTCCTTCATTTATTCTTCATTTTACATGCTTTCTTGTATGATTGTCTATTGTTGTCTACTGTTGTCATCATTCTTTGTTAAAGAACAGGTCTCTCTTGTAAATGAGTCCCTGAGGCTCAATAGCTATGCGCAAACATGCGCAATTTTTTTTTGACCGGATTGAAATGTTTTCTGATTAAATAATTCAAATGTATCGTCTACATGGGCACAATCTGTTCATGACGAGCGTTTACATGCAGCGGGCTTTGTTCTGAACAGAAGTACTGATATGTGCAGAGAGGTAAACTCTCCTTAAAAAAAACACCGAAGAAGACGTTCTACTTCTGGTTTACTTCCGGGATGAACGTAAACAAACCTGAGCACCCAAAATGGACTAGCGACAGGTTTTAATGACGGTGGAGACGTTGCTGCACTCCCTGACTGAGCTACAGGTGATACAGATCATTTTGAGCTCTTTCAAAGTTTCTAGTAGAAATGTTGTGTCGCTCACCGACCAGTTTTGCTTCCCCAACATGCTAATATTATTAGCATTAGCCAGGCGGAAATTACATAGGTCGCACATGCGCAGTCAGGTCAGTTATTCACGATCGTTCTGACCACAAAATCATTTCAGATTGCGCTGAATAAACAAAAAAATAACCCAAACGGGGTGTTTACATGACACGTTTGTATTCCGAACAGCCGTTTGATCCAATTACTTATGTCCATGTAAACATAGCTGATGAGACTAACCTGTATAAATAAAGGTTGAATGAATCCCCCCATGCTGTGATGAGCCCCTGACTGGCTGTTGAGCTAAACAGCTTAATTTGCAGATTTGAAAAGCAGCCATGCACACATTCAACCCATCCACCCACACCCCACTCTACACCAACAACTACACCCACCAACAACTCTACAACCCCCTCCTCTATCCCCTCTGACCCTCCTGCCTGCACTAAAAGATCACTGAGGAAGGTACGGTGGCCCTAAGGTGTAAATGAACATTTGAAAAAACGGAATTACATTTGAAAAAACACAACAAAAACAACAAAATCACAACATTTGAAAAAACAGAATTACATTAAGCCAAAGCGTAAGTGACCGGAATCACATTAGAAAAAAACAGAATTACATTTGAAAAAACAGAATTACATTAAGCTAAATAGGAAGGTTTTTTTTTTTTTACTTTATTAACAGCATAAAACCAAACAACAGAAAAATATACAGTACATCCTGATGCATGCTCAATAATCCAGGAAGAAAAATCTAAAAAAGTTAAGTCAGGTCCTCTGGAGGCCTCCGTGTTCAACAGTCCCCCTCTTACAATGCTGTTATTGCTAGTATCACTCAGCCCCCTGTGGATAGCAAGCAGCCATCAGGGTGCTAACGATCCAATGTTAGGCTGATGGTCCTCCTTGATCATGTGAACAACTAGTTTTAAGCGTCAACAACAAACTGGTTGATCAACTATGAGAAGGTGCTGTTTATAACTGAGCTGAATACAGCTCGTCAGACTCAAGAAGCCTTTCGGATGAAAGATAAAACGTTTCTACGATTTTATTTATTTATTGTTGCTGTTTTTTGAATATCCAGAGGGCCTGACAACTTTTTTAGAATATACAGTACACACAAATCTCCGATGTGTGTGTACTGTATATTGTTCTAAAAAAGTTAAATCTGGTCCTCTGGACATTCAAAAAAACAAAACAAAGCAAATCAACAAAAAAATCTAGAAACGTTTCGTCTCTCATCCGAGAGACTTCCTCAGTCTGAGGTGCTGTTTTCAGCTCAGTCTCTTAAATAGCACCGTCTCAGGGTGGATCAACCAGTTTGCTGCTGACAACCAAAACCAGCTGATCACATGCTCAAGAAGGACCATCAGCATAACAATGGATCATTAGCACACTGATGGCTGTTTACTGTTCACAGAGGGCTGAGTGATACTAGCAATCACAGCATTGTAAGAGGGGGACAATTGAACCCGGAGGCCTCCACCCCTGTTTAACGATGGACGATTTCTTT